TGCAAATTGTTTAATTGTGGTTTTATGTAAATTAATTATTTATTTGTTTTGCATGATTTGTTGATTTATAATTATGTATTTGTTGGATATTATTTATTTGTATTTGTTTTAAATGTAATTATTATTTGCGTGACTTTATATGTTTGTTTTAATGGTATTTTTTTTTAAATTCTATTTACAGTTGTGCTCATTGGTTTAGTATAATTAAGTTTAGGGTTTATTTTATAATTAGGGTAGCCGACTGTTACTGAGTCATGGAATTAGGATTAGGGTTTAGAAGGAACCTATATATATAAAAGACAGTATGGTCTCCTAGGGTTCAAAACAAACCCTATTCACGTAATATTAACCTGTGAGGAAAACAGAGGTTCTGGGATGCAAAGAGAGATACACAGTGAGGGTCTTGAGAGATTTGTTAAAGAGTTGCTTCTGGATGAAACCATGAAGCAGTAAAGGAAGGGAACGGTGATCAAAGGAGGAAATATAATCTTGGAAATTCTACAATTTAGAAACGGCGAAAGGTTTCAACTAAAACCTAGAGGCAAGTTTCAGTCTATTCCTCTCCTGTAAACTTGTGTTCTGTGCATCTTATATAAACTCCAGGAACTTAATTAAACTTTTAAAAATGGACTTTATGCATGCTAGATGATTTCAGTAATCTGTTCTGCATTCTTGAAATTAAAACTGGATTGTTTCATAAACTGTTATGTGGTGGTTTTGGTTTTTGTCAATTACATTACACTGGAATATGTAGGATTTCTAGGACTTTAAGAACTTGAATAGAACCCTAAAAATCTTAAAAAGGTCTGGAATAGGACACTGGACTTCGCCGGAATCACAGACGACAACCGGACGAAGCATAACGAAGCAGTTGAAGCAGATGAGGCTCTCAAAGAGGGAGAGCTGGCTCTAGGAAGCAAAGAGCCAGCTCCAAGGGTTAAGGGAGCCGGCTCTATGCAGGTTAGAGCCTGTTCTATGTTTCTAAGAGTAGGCTCTGTGATCCTATGTATATACTGGAGTGGTTTGTGAGTTGTTTGGCTCGTTAGTGGTTTTTCTGAGCTGTGTTTGGGTTAGGCAGATGAATTTATATATTAATTCATGAAATATTAAAGCCCTAGGATGCATTAATTTATTTATATGCTAATTTATTAAATAGTGGGAAAGTCTAAGACAAGTCGCAGACTGTTTACGGACATAACGGACGGTAAGGATTTAAGTGCTCAAACTGTGTCTAGTAATTAAAAGAGTTGGAACATGGATTCCAAACATTATACCATGCTATATTAGAGCCACTTCTAATAAATTAATATCTTAGTACTCATGGAATTAACCGTAGGGAAGTACACAACGGTACAGGGGTTAACGGATGAAAGGAGTTTAATTGCCTAATTTAATTTTAGCAATTTAATGGAATAGATATATATATATATATATATATATATATATATATATATATATATATATTTATAAATCTTATTTTTGGTTGCACGCTGGGTTCATTTAATTAACAAGTTTGGTCTATGCATAACTTGGATGTTAATGGTTGAAATACTAAATTCTTTTCGGCAATGCAAGGATTTAAGCTTGGAATTTTAGTTGCTGTAATATTAAGCATTACACTGCAATTATTTGGATTAGGGTTTGGACTTGGATTGTTGAACTAGTACTTAGGTTCTGTCAATTTAATTGGATGCTGACCTGGATTTAATTGAAGAATTAAATATAATTTTTATGTCAATTGCCTTGATGGATGCTGGATTTTAACTTGATGAATTAGTAAACTTTGTCTCGTTAATTACGTGGATGGATTCTGGATTTTTAGTTGATGACTTGTTTAAATTCTGTATTTATCAACTATATGGATTATGTGGACTTTATTTGATGTACTGCTCATAATGTTGCATCATTTACGGATCATTTGCATGGTATACACCGGTATGTGACGGTGACATACGGAGGGACGGATTAGATCAAAACGTTAATTCCTATCCATTCATACATAAGGAATGGATTAATTAAAATAGTTAAATCCTACATGGATGCATGCCCTGTCAACTAAGACAGTTGAACGACATGACGGATGTTTGCTTTACTTTTCAGTATTAGGAAGGAATTTATATATATACTTATGGTACCGTGGTACGAGCTTGAGTCTCCTGATCATGGTTAGGGTGCGTATATCGCATGGAGGGATAACTGGACCTAAAGACGTTCCCTGGTAGGTCTGGGTGTGCATGACGACGCGACGGCGTTTTGCGTGTAACTTTCTACTCAGGTGTGACGACTATAGGTTAGTGAGTATCCTATAGTGTGTATATATATATAGATGGACTATGTTTAGATATTGCCGAGCTATCTAGAATGTATCTGCGTATCGGGTTTATGTACGGATTGTAGTAGATTGGAACTTGCATGTGGGCCTGACCCACTCTTATTTTTCAGGTGTTCGTCAGTACTAAGCTTAGAGCTTGATCGTGTTGGTGCAGATACAAACACTCACTCTTCCGGTTACATAGGATTTCCTTTCTATTTTGGTTTTGGATTTTAATTCTATAAATTTATTTAAAGATTTGGGATTATGGGTCCACTAGGTAGATTCCTGAGTTGTACGGATTTAAATTATATTAATTTATTATTTAAGATTTGAGGATTTTTCATTTTAGTTTTCTTTCTGCGCATTATTTTTTTAATCTTAATTCAGTTTTATTCCTGCTTGTTTTCAATATTGACGGTTGGTATCCCTCGGATCTGTGCTCGGACTTGATCACCCGTGACTCTAGAATCGAGGGGTATCACACTTGTCCTAAGGATTCAAGTTTAAAATGACATTTGAAATGTCAAATCTTCAATGTGCAATTCGTTACACATACAAGGCATAAAATGTCGAATCTTCAATGTGCGATTCGTTATATGCTATAATGACATTATTATTCAATATTGAAAACATAACCTTAATAATATAATACAAGTCTAAATTTATGATTTAAACATGCAAACAATTTCAAATATATGGTTAAATCATTAATACAATTAAAATGAAAATTTATTAATTAGAATAATTAATTTCTTTAGATTTCAAATCTTATCCAAATAATCCCTAATTAATATATTCCAAAGATCATAGCATGGTCAACACACATATCAAATCAAAAACTTATTTAGATCATTGGAACAACTAAATATAATTTAATTAAAAAAAAAATTAATTAAATCCTAGATTTTAAAATAACTCCAAATGATTCCAATTTAATATATGTTAAAGAATAAGTCGAGGTCATTACATATATCAAGTTAAATACCTAATTAAATCAATAGAATCATTAAATAAATTTTAATTAATTCATTTAATTAAAATCTCTAGATTTCAAAATTCATCCAAATATTCTCAAATTAATATATGTCAAGGAATATGTCAAGACCTAATTTAATATCATGTTACAAGTTAATTCAACACTAGATACAACTATGTGAATTAAATCTCATACAAAGAAAATAATTAAATAAAGATTTCAAAACTCATCCAAATATTCTCAAATTAATATCAAAGAACATATCAAGGCATAATTTAATATCATGTTACAAGTTAATTCAACACTAGATACAAGTATGTGAATTAAATTTCATACAAAAAAGATAATTAAATAAAATTCTAGATTATATACCAAGACTTGCATACATGTTATATAAGCCTTAAAAACAATTAAGACACCAATAATTTAAACCTATAACATCCCCTACCTCACAAGAGGATTGTTCTTCTTGAATCCAAGGGAAGCAATGGAATTTCAAGAATTCCTTTAAGGGTTTTGTAGAGGAAGGTGAGACAAAACTTTTGTATTCCAAGCTTTAAGGTCAAATGAGAGTGGAAGGAGATTAAAACCAAGATTTTAAGCCTATGTTAAGCTTTCCTTCAATGGTGGCTAAGGGTTTTTTGTGAGGAAAAAGCAAAGTTAGTGGAGGAATGTCTATTCCTCCACTAACTAAAGGTGGTTGGTCAAATAAACATACACATACACTATGTCTCTTACACACACAAATTGTAAGACTAAATTTGGAGCCTACACTTATCACTAATCCAAGCATCCATTCTAGGCTTAATCGTAAGTCTATACTTGTCAACCATCCAAGCCAACAAGTGCACCTATCCTAGGTCAACAAGTGGGTGAATCTTCACCCTCCACATGTCATCATCCAAGGCTCCCAAATCTGAACCACTTAGATGCCAACAAGTGGACCAATGAAAGTGTGACAAGTGTCACATTTTTTCAAAAATTGCAAAAAGGTCCTTTACCAAAATATCTTCTAAATTAAATTACAAAATGGTCCCTAGGACGAAAAATAATTACTTTATTTAATTACACTAAAACCACAAAAGTCAATAATGTTTTCTAAGAAACTATGGCCATGCTTGGATTGCATTTCATAGAACAGTTCTCAAGAACAGTTCTCGAGAACAATTTTCAGAGAACGGTTTTTAATTTTTTCAGATTTCAAGTCTGCTTGGTTAAGAGAATTTACAAAACAGTTTCTGAAAAACAAAAACTCATAAAACTACTTGGTTGTATGGGTTTTTGAAAATAGTTTTCTGAACTAAGAAAATAAATAAAAATATTATTGTAACTCATTTTTTTATTTCTTTAATTTATGATATTAACTATTAATGTAAATAAGTGTTGGAAGTAAATTCATTTTAGCTAGTATTCTTAACTTAATAACAGTTACACAAATACATATATCAAGTTTAATTACAATCCTCTTTCTGTATAACTCCAAAATGGAGGTTCAGTTTGGTGCTTGTATTTTGTTTCCCCTTCATGGGACTCCATGTACATTCTTCCTAAATTTAAATACAATAAAAGAGTTACATGAAACATTATAAATTAAACATAATAAAAGGTACACCAAAACAAAGTTTTCATAACATAAAACATAATAAATTGTCCCCCACATGAATATAACATATAGTCACATGTATAGGAAAAAAAAAAAAACCCAAGGCATAAGGAAATTGTTCAATAACACATAAAACCAAATATGTGTTTCAAGTCACATGCAACCAAAAACTAAACCCTGCATTCAGTAACCACCCAAGTCAGTCCAAGCTCTTCAACCAAGCAAACTTCAAGTCAGTCCAAGCTCTCCAACCAAGCAAACTTCCTGGAAATACTCATCTTAATAAACAATTCTCTGTAGTGCAATTCCTTGAACTTTTCAGTTTCCTTCAAATATGTGTCATCATCTATCTCATCAAGACCCTCAAGGCATTCAATACAATTACTTAGAGAGTATGCGTCTGGGATAGTTGCCTTTTGAGTATGTTTCAATTTCTTATATGTCTCCGCCTTAGCTAATGAAGCTTCAGTCCTTGCTTTGGAAGCTTCAGTCCTTACTTTGGAAGCTTCAACAATACAAGCAAGAGTATCACTAATGGAATCTCTTTTACTCACCTTTTTTGCACGACGATCAGAGGATGTGGATTTACGATGACGAGGGTTATTGTCTTCAACTAGAATATTATCTGAATCATCTTGACCTTCAGCAGTTGAACTAACATGGACACCTGTATTCATAAATTGATCCTCCTGCTCTCATTCTTTGTCTATATTAGGTGGATCTTGAGTGGATGCATAGTGAAGTTGCCCAGTAGCAGTCGACATATTAAAAAGAACTCCCAAAATTTTGTAATTTTCACAACCTTTTTTGCGAAAACACTTAGCATTGGGATGAGCCTGAAAATATATATATATATATATATATATAAAGATTGTTAGGAATAACCATGTTTAAAAATTAAACAAACTATTGTAAAATAATTAATTAAATACATATTTTACCCGCAAATATGTTTGCCAAGTTTCTTCATCAGCAGTCACAGTGTTTGTTTCCGCATCCCAACCAAACCCAGTTGTCTCATTTAGAAGAGTTGAAAACTCACAATGCTTTGTACGTAATCGATTAAATTTTGCCTTTAGTTGCTTCACATTATAAGCGTGATTAGTCTTGTTTTTGAACTCCTCCGCAATCTTTTTCCAACACTTGGAAGTAAATATCCCAGATGGCATGTTTCCCTTGTTAACCTCCTCAACCATTATATCAACAAAACATCTCTCTAATTGTGTAGACCACAGAGCTGACTCCTCAACATCAGCAATTTGAGATGCCATCCTTTATTTGTGCATTAAGCAAAGAATTACAAGCAATAAAATGAATTACAAGCAAAGAATTAGGCAGTGATATCAACTTAGAGAAATAAATAGATCAGGTTAACAGTGATATGAATTGTTGGTTTTGTTTGTTGAACAGGATTGTAAATGTCTCCAATCAATTGTACTAATAGGTCTACTGGTTTGTGGCTTCTAAAGTAGTCTCAAGTCTTAACCTTCATACAATTCCAACTTTAGTTGGTCTCTAAACAAAAATCTTCTAAGTAGCAATATGTCAGTTTTGTATCTTAGAATGGAAAAGCCCCTTGAGCCAGTATTCAATTATTGATGCATCTTCTCAATGACTGCCAAAGAACTTGGGTGTGATTGTGTAACCTTCTTTGTTTTTTAATCTTTTCTTTTCTTCCTTCTATAACCTTCAAATTTCAATCCTTCACATCTTTTAAGTTTTTCATTCTTTTGGTACTGAAAGTAAAGACACTACGTAAGTTTATATAGAACCCCTCATTGTTTTTCTTTCTTTTTTTTTTTTTTTTTTCCTATTCTTTCCCTTTGTTTTATCTTTCACCATCTATTTCTTTTCCTCCTACTTTATTAAACTCTTTTTAATCAAACTCTTTAATCCTTTACCATCTATTTCTTTGCCTTTTCCCTCTTACTTGATTAAATTCCTTTTAATCAAACTCTTTTATCTTTACCATCTCTTTTATCTTTCACAGGTTGTTCTACACCTATGTGGTACCAGTTTAAGGCTTTACCACTGTGATTTGGATCAGCAAATTCAATGTATAATAATACCAGTGTTGGCATGCATAAATTAGTTGATAGACTAATATAAAACATAAACATACAATAAAAACAATAATAAGAACAATAGTATAATGCACTAACCATAATAGACAATTAGCAGAAAATACAAGCAGTTGTGAAGTTCTTCAATAGGTGCATATAACTAAGAGGAATTTAAGCCAACATCTTATTTTTATAATCTATAGTCTAATGTTTAAATGTCGACCTTCTATATAAACACATATATTATATATACCAATTCGTTATTCCAAACAATAGCGGAACATACTAAACATATTTGGGAAGAACGAGATATGGGAATTCTGGGACTCAAATCTAGCTAAATTGTGCCTTTTTTTATGCTTGTGTTTGCCATATATATGCTAATCATACCACCTAAAAGAGAAGTAAAAATTATTTCACCTTTTTACAGGAAGTGAGAAAAAACAAAAACGAAAAGAGGATGAAAAAGAAAATCACAACAATCTTCTATGAACAAAATTAAAAATTAAATTAATGATGACAAACAGAAAAAAGAAGAAAATCAAATCCCTAAATTGAAAATCACAAATCCCTAAACTGAAAATCAAATCCACAACAAAACTCACCTGAAGGGCTTCTTGATCTACTGGTGGGGCGAGAAATAGATGTTGAGGAATGAAGATGAGCTTGGATCCTCAAGTCTAAAGAGTAGAGAGAGGGAGTTGAGAAAGAGTGAGCCGTCAAATCTATCAGAGAGGAGAGAGAGGTTAGCTGAAGGAATGAGTGTTTTAAATGAGCGTGAAATTACGTCATTTTTTTAAGTCTGGGGGCGTTCTCCGTGTTTTCTAAAAAATGAGGACTGAGTTTCAAAACTCTCAAAACACCTAAAAGGTGTTCTCTAAAAACTGATACTATCAGTTCCCAGTTTTTAAAAAACTATTCTATGAAAATAGGCTCCAAGCAGACCAAAAAACCAAGAACAATTTTTTTGTAACTCCCAAAACAGAAAACTGTTTTGGGAGTTATATTCCAAGCAGGGCCTATACATCCATACCCTTTATGAAAAAGTAAGCAACTAGCATATTTTTCTACAAAAGTAAAAATACACATATCACGAAAATTAAATATTATGAGCGCATGCAAAATCGGAACCAAATCCAAGCACAAAAAGTGAGGTTACGCGAAAGAAAACGAAACCGGAAAAAAAAATGTCAAAAAAAAAATTGTGAAAAAGACGCGGTCTGCACAAGGACGTTGTCAAACCAAAAGAAAGAATCTTGGAAACTATTCCTGAGTACTCGAAACAACATAAGGTGACAAAAACCCGAACTCGGAAAGGAAAAATCAACGGAAAAAAAAATATCCGTAAAATTTGAGAAAAAAGAAAGAAATGAAAATGACCGGGTCATTACAATGGTGGTGTTGGTAGCCTTTATTTCTACCGTTGATTGCTTATTTATTTCTTTGAATTTGGGTTGGTGTAGCTTCCCAGATAATGCAAACCCTAGCACCTAGATGGCTGTCGTCATTGTTAGTTCCTTGTGGTGGTGTTTGAGCTGTTTCTATATGTTTTTTTCTATTGTTATGGTGGTGGTGATGTCTGGTTGTGGAGGTGTTTTGGGTTGTTTCTAATTATTATTATTATTTTTTTTTTGGTGGTGGTGTCTAGTGTGGTGATTGTTGTAGAGATGTATGGGTATGGTGGTGGTTGTGGTGGTATTAGGGGAAGACACGCACATAAGAAGGACTATGAGGGTATTTTAGGCCATTTGGTATTTTTAAATTTTTTATATAAATGAATTAAATAATAAAGGGTGAAAATGACATTTCAACCGAGAGGGGGTGTCAATGTCCAAAAACTTGACTAGTTGTTGAAACCTTAGAGAGTGTTAGTGTAATTTACCCGTTTTTTTATGATAATGTTGGCGTCAGATATTTTAGACCGGTATTAACCGAAACTTCAGGGGGTGTTAGTGCAATTTACCCTTTTTTTTAATGACAATAGTGGTGTCAGATCTCTTATAGCATTTGATAATCTATCAGGCAAATGCAGTTATTCTTCCCACATAAATTGGACAATTATGGAAAGAATTTGCATGTGATAACTTATGACTTATGGGTTAACTATGCTTAATTAAGCTAAAAATTAAAATCTATTGAAAATTTTAAAAATCGAATCTCAAGTGTTCGGAGTTCATGTTGTACTTGTAATTATAAATTGAATTTTTTTTATTAATTTTAAATTATATTTATTTAAAATTTTTTTTTTTTAGATTTTAAGTATTCACGACCATCACTTAATTTTTTTTTTTCTCATGTTAAATAATATTCCTACTGCACACTTAAACGCTTAATCAATTTGAAATTTAGTGAAAAATTAAATTATTAGAAAACACCTTAAACTAAAAGGACGCGATATTCGAATTCTACTTTTCTATGTTTGCCCTTCACTTCTTTTTTTTTTTTTTTTCTTTTTTTTTTTTTTTAATATAAATGACAAAAAAGTCTCTAACTTAATTAATGTATCTTCTCTTATTTCGTTACACCATAACTACTCGTTGCACTATGAACTCTTTTTTTTTTGTCTTCTTTACTTACTCTTAAAATTATAGTTTAACATTTATTGATTAAAATTGTCCTCCTAGATTTTACCTGACATATTAAGTGTATAACTAATTGTAGATAAAATTATCCTTTCATCGTCATCTACTTCACCCTTTTTCTTACTGTTATTCTTATGTTTTGTTTAATATTATTCTTTCTATAAAAAAACTTTTCTTAAAGAACTCTGTTGTAATGAATGATTTTTTTTTTCTTTTTTGTTATCTTCAATTAATATTATATATTGTTAAACTTCGAGAAAAAAAAAATTATACCCCAAAGAAAAAAAAAAAAAAAAAAACAAAGGAAAAAATATTTGAAATGTGAGTTATATATATGGATGTAAGTTTTGACGAAGTTAAATTAAGAATTATGTTTCAACAGAAGTAAAGATAAAAAATAAGGATACAAAGACTTGATTAGAGTTTCAAAAGTAAATATCACATCAAAATGCAAACATAGTTGTATATGGTACATATCTTCTTCTTTTTTTCTCTCTCTATCTCTTTTTATTTTTTATTTTTCATATAATCTCTATTCTTGAAATTTTATTATCAAAACAGTTAGGATTTTTCTTATCAATAATAAAAAATTAAGATTTAAACTAGGGCTGCAATTCGGACGAGTTGGGCGGATTTGAGGTATAACTTGAACCCAACCCACCATATGAAATGCCAAACTCAAGCCCAACCCTAACCCTATCTTCAACCCTAACTACTCAACCCGAGCCTAACCCATCATTCTACTTTTAAATTTGGGCTTGTAACTCGGGCTAAAATTTCGTGTTAAAGCTCCAAGTTAATTCGAGTTACTCATATAACTAATCTTCACACCGAAAATTTAATATGATCTTGAATTAGTTTTAAATTAAATTACTATTAAACAAGAAAAAGTTCAAAAACTTTTTGTAGATTTTTAATAAATTACAAACAAATTCTTAAAAAATTAATTTTCCAAAATGTTAACATATAGTAAATTAAGATTTAACAAAGGAAGTTGAAAAGAAAAATGGTAATCGTAATTTAAATATTATATATAATGTATTTTAAAGTAAAAATATATATGAAAATAATATTATAATTCGGGTTCGGGTTGGCTCGAGTTGCTAGCACTTCAATCCAAGCCTAACCCTAATTTAATTCGGGTTGAAAATTTTCAACCCAAACCCAACCTTAATTGTAAAAATGATTGTTCAAACCCGTGAAAAATTAGGCTGAGCTCGGGTTTCCCAACCCAAGTTGTATTGCTAATTTAAATACATTCCAAATTAATTTTTCAAAATCACATTAAGGAAAAAATTCGAATTAATCTCAAAACACACAATACGAAAAGAAAAATAAAAGAAAAAATATAATCACTATTAACATCGATGGTGTTGAATGACTTACAAAGTTTTGATAGTTATTTTGTACTAATCTTCCATTGTTACGTACAATGATCAATATTAAACCTAAGGAAAGAGAGAATATAATTAATAAAAAGCAGAGAAAGAATTGACAAAGGATGCAAGTGAACCAAATCTTTGAATTGGGGAGAGAGAGTGAGACAAAAATATCTTTTTATAACTAAAAGGGTAATTGTGGTTTTTGAAAAAAATAATTATTTATTTATAAAATGAAGAATAAAAATGTCATGTCCTTTAAAATTTTAGTAAAATTATAGAAAAGTACAATAAAAATATCCTTCCCTAAACTAAAAAGTAAAAAAATTGTCAAAAAGAAGGAAACTGGATTCAATTCAATAACATTCTATAAATGGGATGTACCTCGGCTCAATCTATCATTATACATGGACATACCACAAGGATTAGGTTCATACTTCATACCCATTATGCCAAAAAGAAAAAAAAAAGAAAAAAAAGAAAAAAAAAGAAGAAGAGACATGTCTTGTATTTCATACTATGTGTGTGTGTGATTTGATCTCAATAGTTTATAATGCAGACACCTACACATTGCATATTTTTTTTATCTGTAGTTTGACATTGTAGTGTATCTTGAACACAGTGTCCGTTGAGAAACCCCGTATTTTGGTCAAAATTTTTAATCGTTTTCAGTTTTGTGTTTATACTAGAAATAGTGTCCACTTCTTGAAAATTCTTATGTCAGCTAAACAAATACATTGTTCACACACACATAAAAATTTGTGATCATATCATATTACGCAAAAATAATGAACTTCTAGTGGTGTTTAAATGATACGTGTCATAGAGTAAATTGTTGGGTTTATTTCCTTCTATATGGAAGAAAGTCCAAGTGAGTTTTATTAAAAACCCAAAGCCCAGCCTTTAGGGATAAGAACCCTAAGGAAGTCAGAAAAGATAAGAGAGAGAGAGCTAAGCCGCAAGTTTCAGAAGAAAGAGAAGGAAAAACGCAGTTTTTTTTCCATTCTGTCCAGATTTCATCAAACGTTCGATCCTGCTCCGTCCGTGGTCCGATCAAGCTGATATTTGGAGGAGAGGTTCAAGACTCAATGAGTTAAAATATAAACGGTGGGAATCGGATTTTGAGCT